CCCAGGCATTGCCAGCCTATTTTCAGGCCGCTCAGGTCCGTCACATGACCTGGCTCTCCTCTGTAAGCCAGCAGCTGCTGCAGGGGAGAGGAGGGGAGCGCCGACAATGGAAGGGCCATAGAAGCCTGTGGGTGATATCACTGTTCCCAGGCATTGCCAGCCTATTTTCAGGCCGCTCAGGTCTGGTCACATGACCTCTCTCCCTCTGTAAGCCAGCAGCTGCTGCAGGGGTGAGGAGGGAGCGCCGACAATGGAAGGGCCATAGAAGCCTGTGGGTGATGACCTCACTGTTCCCAGGCATTACTAGCCATTGCCAAGCGTTCTCTCCTCTCCCTTGCAGCCGGCACTGGCTGACACAAGGGAGATCATGTGACCGGACTGTGAAATCATTTTGCCCATTTCATCAGGAAATACGCTTAGCGATCCGGTGGGCACACCCAATCAAGTGACCGCTGTGGGCAGCCAATCACAGTGATCGGGAACCTCCCACTTAAAGGGGCTCCGGAAGGCAGCAGGAAGGGGTTAAGGACATGGGGTTGTAGAGAGATTGTGTGCAACACTACTAACGGCACCCACAGGGAGAGCCTTGCACTTTATATATATTTATCTACTTATTTGGATATGATGATCACTTTGCACTTTATAATTATATTCTTCTATCTATTACATTCTGCCTTGTTTTAGCGCTGCACCTATTTTATTGAGATTTAAGTATTACAAGCTCCATATGAAAAATGTGAAATGTCAGAAATCTAATTTAATGTACTTTTCAGCATATGTTTGAGCAACAACTAACTCACTCCTTATCAGTTCATAAATCAATCTTCATGCATGGACTTTGCACCAGCCCAGGGCGGCCCGTGCATTGATGACAGTGGAAAACACGACTAGGGGAAGGGGAGCCATAAGAGAGGCTGGTAAATCCAGTGGCATAATAAACGCCTTAGGCAGAAATTTGATTTAAAGGTCTGCTTTAAGGAGTAGGTGTGAAGGCCGACACGTTGGAGAGGTTGACCATACACTCACCTGCCACTTTGTAAGGTACACCTTATATCCCCCACACCATGACACCACCACCACCAGTCTGAACCGTTGATACAAGGCACGATGGATCCACCACACCGTGACACCACCACCACCAGCCTGAATCCTTGATACAAGGTAGGATGGATCCACCACACCCATGACACCACCACTACCAGCCTGAACCGTTGGTACAAGGCAGGATGGATCCACTGCACCATGACAACACCAGCCTGAACCGTTGATACAAGGCAGGATGGATCCACCACACCATGACACCACCACTACCACCAGCCTGAACCATTGATACAAGGCAGGATGGATCCCCCACACCATGACACCACCACCCCCAGCCTGAACCGTTGATACAAGGCAGGATGGATCCCCCACACCATGAAACCACCACTACCCCCAGCCTGAACTCTTGATACAAGGTACCATGGATCCCCACACCCATGACACCACCACCACCAGCCTGAACCCTTGATACAAGGCACAATGGATCCCCACACCATGACACCACCACCACCAGCCTGAACCTTGATACAAGGCAGGATGGATCCACCACACCCATGACAACACACCAGCCACCAGCCTGAACCCTTGATACAAGGCACGATGGATCCACCACACCATGACACCACCAGCACCAGCCTGAACCGTTGATACAAGGCAGGATGGATCCACCACACCATGACAACACCACTACCAGCCTGAACCGTTGATACAAGGCAGGATGGGTCCACCACACCACGGCACCACCAGCACCGGCCTGAACCATTGATACAAGGCAGGATGGATCCACCACTCCATGACAAATCCAAGAACCAGCATGAACCGTTGATACAAGGCAGGATGGATCCACCACACCGTGGCACCACCAGCACCAGCCTGAACCATGGATACAAGGCAGGATGGATACACCACACCGTGACACCACCACCAACAGTCTGAACCGTTGATACAAGGCAGGATGGATACACCCCACCGTGACACCACCAGCACCAGCCTGAACCCTTGATACAAGGCAGGATGGATCCACCACACCATGGCACCACCAGCACCAGCCTGAACCGTTGATACAAGGCAGGATGGATCCACCACACCATGACAACACCACCACCAGCCTGAACCGTTGATACAAGGCAGGATGGATCCACCACACCATGACACCACCATCACCAGCATGAACATACACCACACCATGACACCACCATCACCAGCATGAACTGTTTATAGGATGGATCCATGCTTTCATGTTGTTTACACCAAATTCTAACCCTACCATTTGAATGTCACAACAACCAGTCTGCCCATTCTCCTCTGACCTCTTACACCAACAAGGCATTTTCCTCCACACATCTGCCGCTCACTGGATATTTTCTCTTTGTCTGACCATTCTCTGTAAACCCTAGAGATGGTTGTGCGTGAAAATCCCAGTAGATCAGCACTTTACTTAGACCAGCTTGTCTGGCACCAACAACCATGCCACATACAAAGTCACTTAAATTCCCTTTCTTCCCCACTCTGATGCTCAGTTTGAACTTCAGCAAGTCGTCTTCACCACGTCAACATGCCTAAATGCATTGAGTTTCTGCCATGTGATTGGCTGATGAGCAATCTGTGTTACCAAGCAGGTGCAATAAAGTGGCCAGTGAGTGTATTCTCCAAGGATATTGTAACACTTGAAACACAACTCCAGACTAAAAACAAAGATTTCTCATACAGCGGTGCCCTTACTGCAAGGGTCAACTATTCATTTTTGTCCTCCGATCCTCCATGCACAAGACCAATCCCTGTGGTTCCTCAACCCCCCCCCCCTCTCCCCCCCATGGTCTAACGATCTTGTGTGGTGGACTGTTCCTGACATCATCAATCTCGGAGACCTGCTCTGAACATGAGGACTTCATGGGGAGACGTCATCAAGCCCATAGACCTGCTCTGAACATGAGGACTTCATGGGGAGAGGTCATCAAGCCCATAGACCTGCTCTGAACATGAGGACTTCATGGGGAGAGGGTCATCAAGCCCATAGACCTGCTCTGAACATGAGGACTTCATGGGGAGACGTCATCAAGCCCGTAGACCTGCTCCAGACATGAGGACATCAGGAACAGTCCACTGTTGGATCGAGAAGGGGGGGGGCACCATTTTCAAGTGGAGCTGAGGATCGGGTAAATATGAGCTTTCTCCAGTCCCCTAGACAAAAAATGAGCAGTTGACCTCTGCAGTGCAGGCACAGCCCGACTGCATGGGAAAACTTTTGATTACCCAGAGTTGGGCTTTAAGGGCTTAAGTTCAGCACTTCCAATACAGGTGTTTTTCTCAAAATGAAAAAGAAATGTAGAAAAGGTTAGGGTGTCATAGAATGGCATGGTATGAATCCAGCAGGTTTTAATTTTACATGAAAACAATAAATTCAACGTATTTCAGGGGCTTACACATCCTTCATCGGGGCTTAAAACGCCGGCAGCGATTAAAGAATAAAAAATTGTCTTGGAATTTCTTTGCGAATAAAATCATAGTATGTATTTTTCAGCTGTTTTGGGTCACCAGTCAGGCAGTTTTTTTTCCCAACACATTGGCTCTGTTCTGTTCTCATCTACAAGGAAAGCCTTCTGGGCTGATATTAGTTCCATTTCATGCCCATCCTTTCTGCATTTCTCAGACTGTTTTGGAGACCCTCAAAGATGCCCTCTGAATTTTGATGTCAAGCCCTGTGCTTTTTTTAATTTTCTGGTCTTTCACTCAACTAACACGTTTTCCATTCAATATCAGAATGTTCAATTCCCAAAATGCATTAACTTTAAATTATAATTAAAAAAAAGGACCTTTGGATGGATATCACTTTCCAAGGATTCACTAACTGTTGGCATAGGGCAGCCATTCTCAACCAGGGTTCCTCCAGAGGTCTCTAGGGGTTCATTGAGTTATCTGATGGTGCCTACATTGTTTCATGTCCAGTGCCCCTTGGCAGAGTCAACGGCATGACACCAATGCTCTTTAGGGTGATCTCACCCTCTAAGGAGGGTATTGGTCACACTGACCACCAATGTAAGTGGTCTTCTTCCCACTAACCCCTGATGATTTAATTCTAGTAACCGGACAATTATTTCAAGGGTTCCCGTGGAGTAAAAAAGATTGATAACGTCTGGACTAGAGGCTTTCTCACAACCCCATCAACAGGTTGGTATAGGGCAGCCATTCTCAACCAGGGTTCCTCCAAAGGTTTCTAGGGGTTCATTGAGCTGTGGCTGATAGACCTCTTAACTGATGGTGTCTACATTGTTTCATGTCCAGTGCCCCTTGGCAGAGCCAACGGCATGACACCAATGCTCTTTAGGATGATCTCACCCTCTGTAAGGAGGGTATTGGTCACACTGACCACCAATGCAAGTGGTCTTCTTCCCACTAACCCCTGATGATTTAATTCTAGTAACCGGACAATTATTTTGAGGGTTCCTGTGGAGTAAAAACGTTGATAACATCTGGACTAGAGGCTTTCTCACAACCCCATCAACAGGTTGGTATAGGGCAGCCATTCTCAACCAGGGTTCCTCCAAAGGTTTCTAGGGGTTCATTGAGCCGTGGCTGATTGACCTCTTAACTGATGGTGTCTACATTGTTTCATGTCCAGTGCCCTTTGGCAGAGCCAATGGCATGACACCAATGATCTTTAGGATGATCTCACCCTCTGTAAGGAGGGTATTTGGTCACACTGACCACCAATGTAGGCGGTCTTCTTCCCACTAACCCCTGATGATATAACTCTACTGACCTGACAATTATTTCAAGGGTTCCAGTGGAGTAAAAAGGTTGAGAATGTCTGGACTAGAGGCTTTCTCACAACCCCATCAACAGGTTCCAGGATAACCCACTCCCCCCCCCCAATTCTTTATAGTACTAGTCTTTGGTTCTTTTTCAATTCAGTTTTCCTTATACAATAAAACACTAAAAAAAATAATATTTTAGACATCCTACCTTGCTTCCATGACTTTATTCGGTGATCCTATACATGTGTAATTTTGAATGTATCCCAAGGAACAGTTGATCTTTGTAAAATCCGGATTGCAGACCGCCAGGAAGTGGGGTCGCAGGCGGCCAATGGAAACCTTGGCAATGTCCGTGAAGGACTGACTGATGGCGCATCCGAAGATAAAACAGCCAACCTGTTTGTACAAAGCAGCCACGTAGGGATTCTGGATGAAGGAATAGGACCGCTCCTTCAGGTAGTAGATGCGGAAGAACTCTCCGACTATGATCTGTGAAGACAAGGAGCTGTGTGGGTTATGGGTGCAATGCAACCCAACAGACACAAACATGGTGAGCTTAAAGTGTACCTGTTGCAAACACAGTTAGGCCGCCATTTTATTTTCTTACTAGTGCCAGCATACAGATAGACAGCCAATGAATTCACTAGAAAAAACATCTTTATACCTCCATGTATGTCTTTTATAAACTATTGGGATGTTAAAGGTTGCTCATTTCCACTCAACACCATCCCAAACCTGCTCGCAGATTTCTTAAAAAGGCCAACGTTGGTACAGAAGACTTGGACCCTTAGACTTCACGTCAATTGACCGTAAAATGGTGATAACACTGGCTAAACTGACTGGTTTCTAGTGATTCTGAAGGTCCCCAGTATGGCTGGCTAGACTATGTGAAAGCCCCAAGCACACTTTAAATAAATATGTGAGAAGAAAAAACACTACAACATGTAACATACACAGCACTAAAGCTTAGATTATCGATAGTGAAAAGGTTGGGAAGGACCACTTGCAGGGGGCAAAAATGGGGCTCTGTCAGGAGCTCTGCCAAAAACAAGACCCAATAAATGTGGTGTAGTTGATGGAATGTTCTTAAGTGGATGATGGCTGAATTCACATTGGTGTCCTAGTCCCAGTTGTTTCTTCACACGTTAACCTCAGGTAGGGCAGCCCATCCAAATCAATGGGCTGGCAACACATCAAAATGTCCAAAAAAAAAAAAGGAAATTCATCATATTTGGTAATGCTCCAAGGCTTTACTGCAACAAGGTGCCAACGCACTAATGCACCCCACCAAAAAGGCCCTCAGCCTTAGGTATTTAATGGTTATTTATGCACTGCTGCGTTGTATTTTTTATTTTACTATTTCTTGCCTGTTTTTTTTTTTGTTACTGCAAAAAAAAAAAAACCAAAAATAATAATAGTCTAATTTCTTGGCACATAAACAGGTTGAGGCATTTATATAAACCTCAAGAGCCATTTAAAACCAATTTCACCCTTAAAAAAATACAAAAACCCATATTTTTTGCTTTCCCATTGACCTGATTAATTTGGGATGATTGGCAAAATTTTACCAAAATTATTATTATTTATTATTAATATTATTATACAGGATTTATACAGAGCCAACAGTTTGCTCAGCGCTTTACAAAATGAAGGTAGACATTACAGTTACAATACGATTTGGTACAAGAGGAAACAGAGGGCCCGGCTCGTTAGAGCTTACAATCAAAATCTCCTAATTTTGCATTTAAATTTTAACCAGGGGCAGACTGACAACTCATGGGGCCCCTGGGCAATAGGTGATCATGGGGCCCCCAGGCAATAGGGGATCATGGGGCCCCTGTGTCCTTGTCCACACTCAAAGCACACCCAAAAAAACCCTATAAAAGATAGCAGGGGCATTTCATGGGGCCCCCTACTGACCCCGGGCCCTCGGGCAGTGCTCGAATGGTCAGTCCGCCCCTGACTTTAACCAACTTAAAATGCTCAGTTTTGCCCACCCCTTGTAACAAACTAATGATTTTTAGTACCTATAGATCCCATTCAATGTCTAATGTTAAAGGTCCATCATTTTAAGAAACTTTTTTTGTACACCCAAACTCCAATGCATTTCTGGTCATTGGCAAAATTTTGCCAAAATCTCCTGATTTTTCTTTAAAATTTTAGAGAAAATTAAAATTCTCATTTTTGCTTACCCTTTGTCAAAAAGTATTGGTCTCCAATGTTATGGATCCCATATAATGCTTAATGTTACAGGCTAAAAATTTTAGGGAAATTTCTTTATTTTTTTTTCACTTATTTTTGGGAATGTGAAACATTTTTTTCCAAGTGTATTACCGAATGAATGTGCATTGGAACTCCATGACTTTATTACAACAAGGTGCCAACGCATTATTGCACCCCACCAAAAAGGTCCTTAGTCTCAGGTATGTAATGGTTATTTATGCACTGCTGCGTTATCTTTTTATTTTACTATTTCTTACCTATTTTTTTTTGTTACTGCAAAAAAACAAAAAAAAAAATAATAAATTAGTCTAATGAGGAGCTGTTTCTTGGCACATAAACAGGTTGAGGAGTTTATATAAACCTCAAGAACCATTTAAAACCCATTTCACCCTTAAAAAACACAAAAACCCATATTTTTTGCTTTCCCATTGACCTGATTAATTTGGGATGATTGGCAAAATTTTGCCAAAATTATTATTATCGTTAGAGCTTACAATCAAAATCTCAATATTTTTTCATTTTAAACGCTCGGTTTTGCTCACCCCTTGTAACAAACTAATGATTTTTAGTACCTATAGATCCCATTCAATGTTTAATGTTAAAGGTCCATCATTTTTTTTTGTACACTTAAACTCCAATGCATTTCTGGTCATTGACAAAATTTTGCCAAAATCTCCTGATTTTTCTTTAAAATGTTAGAGAAAATTTAAAATTCTCAGTTTTGCCTACCTTTGTCAAAAAGTAATGATCTCCAATGGCTATGGGTCCCATGTAATGCTTAATGTTACAGGCTGAAAAATTTTGGGAAATTTCTTTATTTTTTTTTCACTTATTTTTGGGGATGTGAAACATTTTTTTCCAAGCGTATTACCGAATGAATGTGCATTGGAACTCCATGACTTTACTGCAACAAGGTGCCAACGCATTAATGCACCCCACCAAAAAGGCCCTTAGTCTCAGCACTTCTGCATTATCTTTTTATTTTACTATTTCTTACCTATTTTTTTTTGTTACTGCAAAAAAAAACCCCCAAAAATAATAAATTAGTCTAATGAGGAGCTGTTTCTTGGCACATAAACAGGTTGAGGAGTTTATATAAAAAACTTCAAGAGCCATTTAAAACCCATTTCACCCTTAAAAAACACAAAAACCCATATTTTTTGCTTTCCCATTGACCTGATTAATTTGGGATGATTGGCAAAATTTTGCCAAAATTATTATTATCGTTAGAGCTTACAATCAAAATCTCAAGATTTTTCATTTAAACACTCGGTTTTGCTCACCCCTTGTAACAAACTAATGATTTTTAGTACCTATAGATCCCATTCAATGTTTAATGTTAAAGGTCCATCATTTTAAGAAACTTTTTTTGTACACTCAAACTCCAATGCATTTCTGGTCATTGACAAAATTTTGCCAAAATCTCCTGATTTTTCTTTAAAATGTTAGAGAAAATAAAAATTTTCAGTTTTGCCTACCTTTGTCAAAAAGTAATGATCTCCAAGGACTATGGATCCCATGTGATGCTTAATGTTACAGGCTGAAAAATTTTGGGAAATTTCTTTTTTTTTTTTTTTCGTTTATTTTGGGAATGTGAAACTTTTTTTTTTCATGTTTACTTGCATTGGTGCCACAGCGTGTAAGCTACAGCCATAAAGAACTATAATTGTGGCTTGTCGAGTTATGAGAAAATGGCTCTTTTCCAGAAGAAAGAAGAGACTTGGTTTGTCTTCATAAAATTATAGGTGCCCAAACCGGAAAAAAAAAATACAGACATTTCTCCTAATTTTGCCTGGGGACAGAATCGGTGAGAACACCACACTGCGGTACCATGTCCATCGCTGAGAAAAAAAAAAATGTTATTTTTTGGGGGAAATGAAGCCTGGAGGACGGCCATCCTCCTTTATTTGTTTATCTGTCAGTCCCCATCTTTCCTCTCTATCTGACACTGGCTCTGTTGGTGGTCCCAGGGATGGACCAGATGTAGCAACTTGTAAATTGGGGAATTAAGTCTCTGCCAATTAACCGCTGAGGTGTGTTTCCATTTTGCAAGGAAAACATGATGGACCAAATAACAGCCGTACCTCTTGTGTTCAACAGCAAGGAGCAACCTGACCTCTCACACATGGCATTAGTGATGGGGGTGTAATTGGTAACAATTTTAGGTACAACTTTGTATCTTATTTCCCATCACTACTGGAGAAGGGTAAGAAGATAACTAATTCAATTATTTCTGTGTTTCAATGTTTGTTCAAGTTCAAATGGCCGATTTTTTTTTTTGTAAAGGGTTAGTTTTACACTTGACTAAATGAGCTTCAGGGGAACACTCACATAACCTACTCCCTGTAAGTGTGTATTTGAAATTCATAAGAATAAAAATGCCTTAATTGCTTAATTAATGGAGTCATTCTTAGATGTCTTTGAATGCCCTAATATGAGATAAGATATTTATTTTTTATTATTTTTACAACATATTTTCTATCTAAATTTTTTTTCCTTTTTCTATTTATTTCTTGGATTTTTTTTCATATTGTTTATTATTATTATTTATAATATTAATTTGGGTATATGTGTATTTATATTATATTTATTTTTTTATCATTATTATTTTTATTATTATTATTGTTTTATTTTTTTTTTATTAATTATGTTATTTTTCAGTTTTATAAGTTTTGTATTATAATTTTTTGTATTGTATTATTTTTATTTGATTTTTTTTATTATTTATAACATAATTTATGTGTTTTTATTTATATTTATTTTATTTATATTATTTGTATTATTTACTATATAATTTGTATTATTAATTATTTTATTGTAATTATTATGTTATATTCTTATTCTTCTTATTATTAAGAGGTGTTAGGAACTCCACTGAGAGCAAAAAAAGTTCCTTAACTGTCCTGAGGCTACTGTGGGTGGTTTCTACATATTTAGAGGCAAGGTCTAGATGGGGCCAACCCATAAGTGGACATGATAGCCGGTCCCCACTTATTTACAGACAGGGACTTTTCAGGACCAGACTGTAAAGCAAGCACATTACATTTTAGAATCAGTGTCTGACCATGACCAGCCCAGAAAAATGGGTGTGAGGGGCAGCCCCCACATGTTTACAGGTGGAATGTAGGCTGGACCAACCTATATAGTGGACATTATGTGCGGTTCCTACATATATAGAGTCAGGTCAGGCAGAGTCAGGACCAGGCTATAAAATGGGCACATTTTATAAGCAGGGTCTGGCTTACCCAAAACCAAAAAGTAGGTGCAATGGGCATATTTAGAGGTGGAATCTAAGCTGGACCAACCTATAAAATAGACATGATGGGCAGTCCCTATATATTTAGAGACAAGGTCTAGGTGGAGCCAACCCATAAAGTTGACATGACAGGCAGTCCCCACATATTTAGAGGCACGGCCTTGTCGGGACCAAACTATAAAATGAGCACAAGGGGAAGCGGGGCCTGGTCATGACTAACCCAAAAAAGTGTGATGGGCATATTTAGAGGTGGAGTCTAAGCTGAACCAACCCATAAAACAGACATGATGGGCAGTCCCTATATAATTAGAGACAAGGTCTAGGTGGAGCCAACCCATAAAGTTGACATGAAGGACAGTCCTCACATATTTAGAGGCACGGCCTTGTCGGGACCAAACTATAAAATGAGCACATGGGGAAGAGGGGCCTGGTAATGACTAACCCAAAAAAATGTGATGGGCATATTTAGAGGTGGAGTCTAAGCTGGACCAACCCATAAAACAGACATGATGGGCAGTCCCTATATATTTAGAGACAAGGTCTAGGTGGAACCAACCCATAAAGTTGGCATGATGGACAGTCCCCACATATATAGAGGCACGGCCTTGTCGGGGACCAAACTATAAAATGAGCACATGGGGAAGCGAGGCCTGGTCATGACTAACCCAAAAAGTGTGATGGCCAAATTTAGAGGTGGAGTCTAAGCTGGACCAACCCATAAAACAAAAATGATGGGCAGTCCCTATATATTTAGAGACAAGGTCTAGGTGGAACCAACCCATAAAGTTGGCATGATGGACAGTCCCCACATATTTAGAGGCACAGCCTTGTCGGGACCAAACTATAAAATGGGGAAGCGGGGCCTGGTCATGACTAACCCAAAAAGTGTGATGGGCATATTTAGAGGTGGAGTCTAAGCTGGACCAACCCAAAAAACAGACATGATGGGCAGTCCCTATATATTTAGAGACAAGGTCAAGGTGGAGCCAGCCCATAAAGTTGACATGATTGACGGTCCCCACATATTTAGAGGCATGGCCTTGTCGGGACCAAACTATAAAATGGGGAAGCGGGGCCTGGTCATGACTGACCCAAAAAGTGTGATGGGCATATTTAGAGGCGAGATCTAGGCTGGACCACCCTGTAAAGTGGGCACATTTGGGACTTCCCCATCTGGTGGATTTCACAATGTCCTGGGATATGAGAACATAATGTTGGTAAACATGGACTGTTTTACATTTAATTACAGGTCTAGGAAGTGGCACCATATAAAAATCTTCCCAATTTCTGCCCCAGCAGGTTCCCTTTTGCGGTCGGAATGAGAAGAACATCCTGTAAAAGGCAAAAGAAGACAGAAGAGAAGGATTTGTAGTGATTGGCAGCTTGAGACACTTACAGCGAGGACGGAAATTAAAATGCCGACAGCGGATAGCACAGCATCATTAATTGTCTCTCCCGGTTTGATGGGGTACTTGATGCTTTCATCGTCACAGTAAAACCCCCGTTCATACGGCCGGATTTGATTAGATTCAATTATCAGGAAAGGCAGGGCAGCTAGCGAAAGAGCAAGAGAGAGAGAGAGACAAAACAAAGAGATCGTCAATGTGATGATGCAGGCGAAACATTACACGCAACAAGGTAGCGCAACGGCACGAGCTGTCTGGGCCAACGCAACATCTGCTTCAGGCGGAACTCAGGTCCATCTCCTTATGAAAGGAGACTCTCCTTCTCTAAGCTGGCAAACATTTCAGGCACTCTTTTCGTTTTGGATGGGATGGAGTGGAGGAGGGTTAGAACCCCTGTCAGGGTTATATTGTTGTCTGTACCCCGTTGGGGATATTCACCTTCTCTATTTGTCCTGGTGCCTTATCACTGAAAGTGAAAGAAAATCCAAAATTTGGGGTTGTCCTCAGAAGAGAATGAGGCCCCTTTCACACGGGCAGACCAGTCGGGTCTACCTATCAGTTTTTTTAGGTGGACCCGATCGGACTATCTATTGTTCGCTATAGAGCAGCGGAGGTCAAAGAACATTCGATCCTGTCTGGGGATCTGTTCCCCATCTGTCTGGGGGATCGGTTCGGATGGCAGTCGGATGGAAATGGACAGGCGATCCATTTCCATCTGACCGCCCAGTAGAGAACAGGGGGCTGTGTCCGCTCTGCACAAGTCATCTGCCTGCTCAGCAGGGATCAGCAGACAGATTCTCCCCACTAGAAGATTTCCCCTCTGTTAGAACCCTTTCACGCGGGGTGGACTCAGGCAGCAGATCCTCCTGGAATGGCAGTCAGATGGCGGTTGGATGGAAACAGACAGGCGGTCCGTTCCCATCTGACCACTCAATAGAGAACAGGGGGCGGTATACATGTCCGCTCTGCATAAGTCATCTGCCTGCTCAGCAAGGATCAGCACACAAATTCTCCCCACTAGAAGATTTCCCCTCTGTTTGGCCCCTTTCACACGGGGTGCACCCAGGCAACGGACCCTCCTGGAATGGCAGTCGGATGGCAGTCGAATGAAAATGGACAGGCAGTCCTTTCCCATCTGACCACCCAACAGAGAACAGCTGTCCGTGTCCGCTCTGCATAAGTCATCTGCCTGCTCAATAGGGATCAGCAGACAGCAGGGGCAGACTGACAACTCATGGGGCCCCCGGGCAATAGGGGATCATGGGGCCCCTTGTCCTTGCCCACACTCAAAAAAAACCTAAAAAAAGGTACCTGGGACATTTCATGGGTCCCCTACTGACCCCGGGCCCTTGGGCAGTGCCCGAGTGCTTGAATTGTCAGTCCGCCCCTGTCAGACAGATTCTCCCCACTAGAAGATTTCCCCTCTGTTAGACCCCTTTCACATGGGGCGGACTCAGGCAACGGACCCTCCTGGGCAGTCGGATGGAAATGGACAGGCGGGCCTTTCCCATCTGACCGCCCAATAGAGAACAGCTGGCTGTGTCCGTGTCCGCTCTGCATAAGTCATCTGCCTGCTCAGTAGGGATCAGCAGACAGATTCTCCCCACTAGAAGATTTCCCCTCTGTTGGGTCCCTTTCACACGGGGTGGACTCAGGCAGCGGACCCTCCTGGAATGGCAGTTGGATGGCAGTCGGATGGAAACAGACAGGTGGCCCGTTCCCATCTGACTGCCCAATAGAGAACAGCTGGCTGTGTCCGTGTCCGCTCTGCATAAGTCATCTGCCTGCTCAATAGGGATCAGCAGACAGATTCTCCCCACTAGAAGATTTCCCCTCTGTTGGGTCCCCTTCACACGGGGTGGACTCAAGCAGCGGACCCTCCTGGAATGGCAGTCGGATGGCAGTCGTTCCCATCTGACTGCCCCATAGAGAATAGGAGGCTGTGTCCGCTCTGCATAAGTCATCTGCCTGCTCAGCAGGGAATAGCAGACAGATTCTCCCCACTAGAAGATCCCCCCTCTGTTAGGCCCCTTTCACACGGGGTGGACTCAGGCAGTGGACCCTCCTAGAATGGCAGTCGGATGGAAACGGACAGGCGGTCCATTCCCATCTGACCGCCCAATAGAGAACAGCGGGCTGTGTCCGCTCTGCATAAGTCATCTGCCTGCTCAGCAGGGATCAGCAAACAGATTCCCCGCTGACCAGGAGGGTCCGCTATGAGTCCGCCCCATGTGAAAGGGGCCTAACAGGGGGGAAATCTTCTAGTGGGGAGACTAGTTCTGGTGACCCCCCAGGGATTTCCTCACTTTGGAGGGATTTCCTCTCACTTCCGGTCTTGGCTATAGGACAGGAAGTGAAGAAAAATTTCCCCCATGGGACAAGGGTGACAAAAAAAAAAACCAACAGTGGTTATGACCTTTATCCTTTATGCCATCCAAAATTAAAAAGTTTTGCCTTTAGTTCTACTTTAAAGTGTGTCTACAAGTAAAACTTTTTGTTGTTGTTTTGGATAGAATAAAGAAGTTAGGAGCCCTGAAAGGTCTTTTTTTATATTTTTAATTATTGATAGTATTTTTTTTTCTTTTTTGCTGTCTGTCTCTCCTTCAGTTCCTGTCCTGTATAGTACTACAGTACAATTTTAGTGTAAGTGCTGGAAAATTTTATTTTGCAAGACAGTAAGTCAAAAGCGAAAATCCAACGCGTTTCGAGGGCTAAATACTGCCCCTTCATCAGGGCTCGGATGCTGATAGTGAATTTGGAGAGTACTGGACAGCAAACTGTAAAATAAAGCATAGAATTTATCTCAATCAGGTCACTGGTCAGCCAGAAGGCTTCAAGTACATTTACTAGCAGCACCCAAACCCCGATGAAGGGGGGATATTGAGCACCCGAAACGCGTCAAATGTTTTTGTGACCTCCTGTCCTGGAAAATAAAGGTTTACCAGACTTACACTATACTTGTAGCACTTCCACTCTCTCCAATCAACTTATATGACTCCAGGGACCCCCAAAGATGCCCCAGTTGACAGAACGTTGGCCCCAAAATAAACATTTTAAGTCCTACCTTTCCTGTTTTGTGTTTGGTGCTCTACCAACACACCTGTCCTGGAGACATAACAAGAAGTGTGGGGAATTCTCTCACGTGTGAGAACGAACATCCCTTCTGAGACAGCAGGTGTCCCCATTGGAAGATTTCCCCTCACTTCCTGTACTGGTGACAACCAGTAAATGTTACATTTCCCATCACTATTGTCTTCTGGACAAACATGAAGAGTAAGCCCTACCAGTGGGGACCCAGACAACAATGAAAACCCTTTTAGGCTGGAGATGCACTTTAATCGTCTTCTTACAATCGATCTCTTAAAGCTGAGTTCCTCTTTAAAGCTGGCCACACATTTCACAACCTGATTGTATAATCTCCTTTCATTTGCAGCGAGGGGGCCGATCTGACCTGGATGTAATTTGAATGTGATGTTTAGATAGGCCCCTGTGCTGCATTATTTTTGGCGAAGAGCTTGTTCTATATCAGGTTGTTACCCGTGCGGCCAGCTTGACCCCACCTTCCTGTGGTCTGCTGGGAATTAGCACAACCTTCAGATAGTCGCGTGGGCCCAGACGAGGCTACCGTGCCAAAGCGCTTGTCACTTACAGTAACCATTGCCACCAAAACCCCAATTGACAGGAGCAGTGGGACAGATATGGTGCTTCTCTTAAACTCATGCCTTATGCTCCCATCACTGCAGAAAAAGCCCCTCTGGTAGGTCGGGATAAAGGAGGTGCAGTTCGTCACCACTGCTGGGGCACAGGCTGTCAGGACAAATGCAAAGAGGTCACAAATTACAACACACTTCCCACACATTGCCGGTCAGGGACAACTAAAGGGTTAGCCCGTCCATGAATGTTCCTCAGGGACTCTGGCAGTAGGGCTGGGACAAGGGGTGGGCAGGAGGGGCACTGCCCTGGGCACAGTTGAGCAGGGGGGCAGATAATGAACATAGGACACTAAACCTATTCTTAGTTCCACATTAAAGGGTCAGCCTGTCCATGATGGATATTTCGGGAGTAGTTGGAGGCCAACAGCCTGAGTCACGCACAGGTTTTTAATGTTCCTCAAGGACTCCGGCAGCAGGGCCGGGACAAGGGGTGGGCAGGAGGGACAGCTGCCCTGGGCACAGTGGAGCAGGGGGGCAGAGAATGAACATAGGACAATAAACCTATTCTTAGTTCCACATTAAAGGGTCAGCCCATCCATGAAGGATATTTCGGTAGTAGCCGAAGGCGACAGCCTGAGTCACACACAGGTTTCTAATGTTCCTCAGGGACTCTGGCAGCAGGGCTGGGACAAGGGGTGGGCAGGAGGGACAGCTGCCCTGGGCACAGTGGAGTAGGGGGGCAGAGAATGAACATAGGACAATAAACCTATTCTTAGTTCCACATTAAAGGGTCAGCCCATCCATGATGGATATTTCGGTAGTAGCCGAAGGCGACAGCCTGAGTCACACACAAGTTTCTAATGTTCCTCAGGGACTCCGGCAGCAGGGCCGGGACAAGGGGTGGGCAGGAGGGGCAGCTGCCCTGGGCACAGTGGGGCAAGGGGGCAGAGAATGAACATAGGACAGTAAACCCATTCTTAGTTACACATCCTTGCCCTGGGCCCTGGTACTATCCAGCAGTGAAATATAAATGCATGAGTTACAATATGAATTCTTCTCCTTGAAAGTGGGCTGAGTTGGGAACCAAGCAGCAGAGAATATGCTGCCAGAACCTCTGAGGAACATAAGAAGCCAATAAGGGACTCAACAGGTCCTCCAGATAAGGGACATAATGCATTTTCCTGCATCAAGATTACACAGTCCATTTGCCATGAATGGACTTCTGAAGAACCTCAAAAATTGGGCTCCATTCACACCTATGCATGTGCGTTACCCTCTACATGGACGCATGTTGCAGACATGCATTTTAGATGTGCCTTAATTAAATTGGAACCTCAATACACACACAGCAAATAAAGGTACCGGTCATGTTTGTTTGTTTTCTTTTTTGCCACACTGGCGCATGCTGAGGATCCATAAAAAACGGACAGGCACAGGCATAAGCGTATGTACTGCAACACGCTTCGTTGGGCCGGAGGTAACACGCGATAATGCGTGCACATAGATGTAATTGTGCTCCTAGCAAAAGTTTCAAGAAA